AATCCTGTCTTGTTTTTCCCATGAGATTAGCAGATAAATTTCATGTTTGGTACCACGACATATTAATTAACCCAACTAATTTCATTATGTAGAAGGAAAAAAAGCGCATCAGATGGTATTTGTGTCTTTCCTCCTCTGTTCCCCGTATGCTCTTGTAGTGCAACTCACGCCAAATGAGAAACACAGCATTTTTCGTATTCCGGAGTTACGCTGCTGCGTATTGCATTCAGGTGTCTTAGAGCCAACTTGGGATTTCCCCCAGCATTTGTGTTGCAAAAATCAATCAATCTCTGTTGAAAATACCTTTAATGAACTCACTGAGAGGAGAGGGGATTTATTCCACTGCCAGGTTTGTCGTAGCAGGGATTTTGGGCGGTAAGGAGCTTGCTTGGTACTACACAGCTTACTATCGCCGCTGACCACAGCTCAAAATGAGAATATGCAATTGGAGGAGAAGATTTTGGCAACTTTGGAGGTGTTTCAGCCTGTCACTTGTGCTTTGAAGAATTAAGCCGTCTTTGCAAAAAACCTGGCTTAAGTCGACACAAAAATACATGATCATTAGCAACCCCATATTAGAAGCTTTCTGATCAGGGGAAAAAAAAAAGGTTTCTATTTTTGTCATGGCCTCAGTATTCATAATTTTTCTCGTGACTTTTGCCAACATTTGATGCCAAACATTTCTTTAAGATATTGCACAAGAAAAATAAGTGGAAGACATTCAGATGTTTACCAAGAAAACAAAGAATATCAGATACATTACTTTATACTTTCAAGGTGTGGTCAATTCAAAATTTTGCCAAACTCCTTTCCTTTAATACCAACACACAACAAATTAACTGGGAGATGGATGGACTGCGACCTCTTCTTCTGAAATCTCAAGCCATTATCAGACAGGCTAAGACTTGCCAGTGAATTAAAAAATGCCTAATAGCAAGATTTTAATTCTCGTCAGCTGTTTGTCAGCTGCTGAGGATATGACTGTGAGAGGGGGCTGGAAGAGGTCTGGGTAATTAAACAAGAACAATGGCTACTCCTCGCTACACTGAAGCATTACTTGGGGATCGGAACTTGGCCAGAATAAGGAAGTTGAATTCTTCGCCATGATGATTGTGTGAGACAGAATCTGTATACGTGTCATGGTGCCTAGTGGGAGATGTTAGCGCCAAGTGCTCTGTGCTTATCTACTGGCAGTCCAAGATGAGGCAAACTTCTTCTCCTGTAATGGTTCAACTGTAGCTTATGAAACACTGCAATGTAAATTTAGATATGGATTGCGTCTTATTGATTGTTTGTTTAAATACCTTGTTGTGTAGGTGATGCTGATTGCAGTATATTGTTCGCTTACAAAGTGTCATTCTTGACATGTGCTTGAGATTGTAATTAACAATGCTGAAGTGTATGTGGATCAGGCTATTACAGACTTGAACAGTTTGACGAATGTGGATCAGGCTATTACAGACTTGAACAGTTTGACGAAGTGGAGATATGAAGAATTATTGCTAAAAGCAATGCTGTGGCGTAAAAGCCATGAAGCTTAATGGGTCATCACATCTATACATTTCATCAGGTCATCTTGTGTAGGGGTCACAGATCTGTTTAACAGCCTTTATGAAAAGGTATTTTTTATTCCTATTTAATGACTCTTAGAGACCTATGTGATGAGTTTGCATGAATTAATAACTACAAAATAGCCCATGTGCACGTAGTTGATGAAAATGTGTCATAAATATTTGATGAAGTTGTTTCAAAAGATACTCAGACACATAACCGTTGCAATAAATCACTGATAAAATTCAAGAAAGAAATGGAAAATAATGCTCAAGAATGTTTTTCAAGGTAGGCAACATGGCTGTGGTTATCAAGCAAATACCATGACTTAATTGCTTCTGGTTGCTGCTAGAATCATCAGTTAGCTAATGGTGATACAGCACAAGTGATTGCCATTGGGGAAGGCATTTCACAAGCTGTGAAATGCACAACGAAATGAACATGATTTGAAATAGACAAATCTGGCACTGATTTGATGAGGGAATTGAAATTTTTTGAGGGCGCGAGGAGAGTGACCTTAAGAGGGATTTCTGCCTGCAAATAGTGTAGATCACAGCCGAATACTATCCACTTTGACGGGTAAATCAGAGAGCAAAGCAAAACGACCAGGACTAGTAATTCCCAGACAACTTATTGATAACTTACAGATATTGATCAATTGCCAGACGAAACTCATTTTTTATGGCGCATTCGGGAAAATTACAATCTTCAACAGAAGAAAAGAAGTGTGAGAAAGCCGGCGAAACAACACTACTCCACAGAGGGATGCTTTTGGACACAGCTTTGGTAATCTGGATGTATTCTCTACATTTGTGTACATGTCTGACACAACAAAATATGATCAGCGTTTTTCTGTAATGAACTGTCCTTGGTACAAAATGATTTTTTTCTGTGTTGCTATTCTTGGAGGTTCACGTCCAGTGCAAAACACAACCCAGTTGTGAAAATAAATATTTATTCAATCACGCAAATTTTCAAAGAATTATGCTTTCGATGATAATGTGAAACAGAATCGTTATAATGAATATTCAACAAAATCATCATCCAGCATGGGAATAAGTGAAATATCACAACTGAGAAAAAGCACTATCTGATACATGTGGAAGAGACAGTAACCCTTGAAGACTATTCAGATCTGACGGCGCAAATGCATGCAGTCTTATACCAGCTCCCAGCTGAAATTTCCCCCATCAGTCGAATTATGCTGCACATACATGCATGAGGACGTGAGAATATTCACACTGGGGTTTGGGGGAATTGCTGGGTTGCAGATGGGAGGAACAGAAAGGTGGTCTGTGGACAACGATTGAGTCCGTCAAGTGTAAAATGTGTTCTAACTGCCCGTGTTGTCCATTGTCGGGCACTATTGTTCCTCATCCACGAGCACGGCCGTTTTAATGGAACGCATAGGATCCCTGTCCTTTCGTGCATTGGGTACGAAGAACGTGAAGCTTATTCAGCCATGAATATTATAGGACATTAAGCTTTGCGCCAAGCTGGTCTGGTTGATCACTTGGCTGTTTTGCTTTGGTCCTTGATTCATTGTTGGGAATTGCTGGAAGTGCTGAGATAGAAAGAAACAAGAAAAGAGCAATATTCCTGCATTTGGCCAAAAATAAACAAAATTTACAAGTCTCTGGTTTTTTAAATTGACAGAACATTAAAGATCACAGCCAAAATACTGAGCAACTTTACATTCCAATGCTCTGACAATAATGAACACAATTACATGTTCTTGTCAATTTTACACATTAACAAATATTTTAAATGTATCAATTATTCTCGAGTGATTCTAATGTTACTGTTTATTAATAAGCATTGTTATGTTTACAGTTATTCTGAAAAATATCTCCTTAAAATCTAGCAGTATCCAAAATATAATAAGATAGTTAGGAAATTTGAACACACTTTTTACATTACATGAAGCTGATGAGAAATGTACATTACAGAGAAGTGATACGTAATCTACAAGCCTACAATCAGTGTACAGATATCTCCCTACATGCAGCAATCAGCAATGACCCACACTACCCACAGAACACGACAATCACCCAAACACATTATAGGGTCAGAAAGCTGAAACTTTTTTGACCCAACACTGCCATGGTTTTTGTCGATCAAAGTGAATCATCCCAAATAAAGAGCAATTCCTGTGAGCTGGACTCAAGAGATGGTGATGAGATTAGCCATGACGCCATTAGCTCGCCATAGTCACTCTTTTCATGTCCCCCCCTGTGGAGGACAGTTTTTTACAGCTAGAAATTGTGGGTGGTATGGGCTGTAAAGTGTCATACCCTGCTGTCGTGGACAACAATCGGACAAGCAACGTACCTGGACGGTCTAACACCACAATCGTCAATTTCATAGCTGTCAATTTGTTGAGGAATAAACCCAATGTTCCTTGAATCACCAAATCTCAGTCTTCTATTCATAAATAGTGCGAGTTATAGGCTTTAATAGTCGTTGATCCATGTATATTACATAGAGATGCCCTGGTGATTAGCACATAAAACATGTTGATTTCATGCTGATTTCACGCCCGAGACAGGAATTTCTCTATGAATATTAAGCGGATAAGTACTTCACTTAAAATGGTTTATCACATTCACTTTGAAAATTGGATAATAAATTATGGGCAGATTTCATTCATATGTAATAATGTGTGTGTAGAATACTAAAAGGTTAGTTTTGTAAATATATATAATATGAGAAAACTTGAAAACAGAACAGAGTTCTTCCCCTTGAACAAAGACATTGAGAACCAAATACAGTCCCCCAACCAAAATAATTAACTCTACTGAAAAATAGTTACATATTTTCTAGATAGCCTGATGGAACTTGACATTTATTTACTAACTCTATAAGTCCCCCCCTTGGTCAATGTTAAACCTAGTTACTGATACAAATAAACAGCTGATGTCATTCATCATGTGGCAATACATCATGCTATATATAATCTTCCTGTCTGATGTTTTGAGAATTTAATTAAAGATTCACGCTTTCTGGTTATTTTTTCAACAGCTTTACACCTTTTCTTGAAATTCTATAGATTAGTCCCCATAATATGATTTAATTCAAGTTGAACTTTTGTCCACCTTCTCCTCTATTGCTCAAACAGACATGTTTTGTTATGGTTGGTTATTAAGGAAAATCATGGAAATTTGAAACCAACCACCGCATCGGTATTTCTTGTCCATTTGTATTAAGAAAAGAAAGAGCTAATAGAGACTCTAACAGCAACACATCAATGGCAAACCCCACAAGTTGCGAAAGATCTTTTTTACCAGTTTTCATTTCGCTAAAATGAAGTTTTGACGTTATTCACAATAGGATGAAAGCAAGGGGTTGTAAAAAGGACGTCCAAAATTGTGAACAGCACTGTTGGAATCTTATGGTGAAGGTAGCCCGGACGGTTACCCCCTCTTACAAATTTCATTGACATTGCCGAGGCACAGAGTGGGTCAGCAAAAGAGCTTTGAGGGGATCACAGAGAAACGGGAATAAAGGACAGGTGCCGTGGGCACAAAAGCCCAGGTTCCCTACACAGATTGAATCCTAAGAAGTATGCTTAAACAGGTAAAGTGAACGCTAAGTAAACGATGCATTTGGCTTTTGGTTTGTTCACAACCAGCTCAGTGTTTTCGGGTCAAGACTTTTGCCACGAGCTTACATTTAACATTCTGACCCCACGGGCTGGCTGCATTCACAGCCTTAGGCAGCTTGTTTCCAAACCTCTATAATATTTACACAATTAATTCCCTGTGTGTTTCAATCTATTAGTGTGTTTTTGTTACCTCAAAGGCCCGGCAAGTCCCTACAGCATCCCATCAGGGACTGGATGAAGAGGGGTGATAGAAGTACTGTAGTTTTCATAGGGAAATCTATGCATTCAGTTAGATCAGCATATTAATGTGTAATTTGTACATGACAGACTATCACTATCATTACTAAATACCATCATTATTATTTTTGTAGAAGGGAAAGTAAAAGTAAAGATATTGTTTATGCAGTAGTTTAAGGAAGATAAGATTTTATCACTTATAATATGTATACTAATTATCATCATTATAATCAGTGCAAATAATATTTTCATTTCAAAGTATTTCTTGTCAACATAAAAGCACTTTTAGATCAATAACGATTCAGATAACAAAATATTTAGTTAAACGACTTTTGGAAAAAAAACATTCTAGGAATCTATAAAATGTTTTGTAAGTGATGATCACACAAATTTGCCCTCAAATATAAATGTTGAGACTTGTCCATGATATTGATTTTAACAGTAAAAACAGGAAAATTAAATACATTGTCAGGACACGCTCCCTAAAGAAAATGCGTGGTGGTAATGGGTAAAATCTGCTGTGTTTGTAGCCCAGCTGGGGGCTGAACTGGTGGTGTTTCTCGAGTCACTTACTCTTGTGATTACTAGGCCAAGTATACCGCTCACATCCATCAGAATGCATTTGTCTCACTTCTAATTTCATTATTTTCTGATAAAGCCAAGTCCAGCACAGGGGACGGTGCTGGCCAGCAGCGGCCGCCAGGGTGACCTGAACTAAGGCGAATCTACTTTGGACATAAACGATCTTTGTCTTGAGACACTTAACATGGGCTGACAAGGGCCGTGGACTCACATGATGTGCAATTGACGACCATGCAGCACAAAATAAACTGAAAATTAACACTGTGTCAGCTGATGCTAGTCTGTGCAGGGTAAGCAAGTCTGGCCTGAGGTGACGGGTGGGTGGCTGACAAGATATATAGGTTAAACCTACAAAAACTGACGTTAATGACAATATACATCATGTCTCTGTGTCATGTCGCTGACACAGGAATTCAGAGCTGGGTGGTGGGATTTCAAGAATCATTGACTTTGTGTTGACGATAGAAACTGACATGATTGGTCAGAGAAAGAGCAATCTTTTTTTAACCGGTAAACCCATTGATGGGGGTTGATATGGGGCAGTGCCTTCAAGAATCATTGACCTTATGTGAGGACAGAAATTGACATTGTTTTCCAAGGAATGAACAAGTAATTTTTTTATGGCACAAACCCAATGATACAAAGGTTGTGGAATGACACCACAGGCGTGAATTGATATCAGCATTTGTGGGCACGGGCAGACACCCTCTGCTGGGTTTTTCACTGGGCTGAAAGTGTGTAGTATGGCGAAAGCCCATGGGACTGACGTTATGTGCTAGCAAGCCTGATGGCCTGAAAGAAACTGACAATGTGTACAAGGCGACAACTTGTAAATAATTGACCTGACCAAATTCACACTTTTAAAAGCTTTTCCTTTTTTGTAAATGCTGAACAGCCGAAAACTGTCTCCTCAAAGCACTGAGTGTGCTTGGGACCCTGTCTGTCACAGGTACATGTGTTGGGGACACTTGTTCTAATCATTAATTTATGACATGTTCACTCATCAAAGACAGGGATGTTCTGAAATAAGCGTTATCTTGCCTTGACCAGGAGACTAGGGTTTAACGGTCAGGTCAACACAGGTATGGAGATCATCAGTAACTATTTGCATTTGCTGCCGATATCACACCACATATGAGTGGTGATAAGTACTAAAAATAGCCCCTGACTGACCTAGTTGTCTATTTCCATATCATATACATATACATCTAGTGAAATCCACAACTTACATGGTTACATAGCTTATCATTAATTTTGATGCAATAGGACATATACATGAATTTTGAAAATTTCAATAATATTTTGTTCTTAAATATTTTACAAATTCATATCTAAAATAACGTTAGATCATTGTTGACATATAGTCAATCATTAAAATACATATATCAAAATTAAAAAATATACTTCCACTGTTTGATTCAATAAAATTGAATTTGCTTGCAAAAGTATTATTGAATGAAATCCGTTTCCATCCTGGCTGAAAGTTTGAGAAAAATATTTGTCAGTGAGGAGAATTACTTCCTAGTTTTTGCTGATCCAAATCGATACATGAATGTTGTCACTTAAATCGTATATTTCATAATTGAATCCTTTCCCCAAGTCTCCATCCAACTCCCACATTGGGCTGCGACACTTCGGGGCCATGGGGCCAAACCGCTTTCGTGAAAACTTCATCAAATTTCAATAACGCATCCAAAATTCCACGCAAGTCTGCATTTTTTTTTCCCTTGTTGCTAGTATTTTGGAGTCTGGTTGTTGTGTGAAACTGGATAGCTAAGGGTATTGCTGGCGTTGTACCTCTAGCCTTGCATGACACTCTGATTTAATGCTTGGATACAGCTTGAAATGTACAATGCACTTTCTTACTGTTTATTGATAGGTCTGCTACTGATTGATGAGGATTTCCGTCTGGCCCTTGTTTGAAAATAAACATTCTCAGTCCAATTATCAAAATATTTTTACCATCATCATTATGGAAATATGTCACTGGTTATCCCACAAAAACCTGGTAAAAACTGCTAATTTCCTTTGGAGATTTGATGACAAAAAGTATCAAACACCCTCGTGTCAATATTACGAAATCTAATGACCCACGTCAGAGGAAGTCAGTTAAACAACAAGAAACATATCAGATTGTAAGCTGTCAAAAAAATCAAAGAATTTCCAAGGAGTAGTGAATTTTAGATCTTGAAAGAAAAATATCCCCTTTGAGACCTTCTATGGTTGATGCAATAATATACTAATTGATGTAGAGTCCTGTGGGTGGGCTAATGATTTAAAAAGAAATCAGTCATTTTTGCGTGTCCTACTGATTTATTACCTTCATGACAGCTCCTGTCAGTCTTTGAAACACATAACACTTCCCACATTGAAACATGTGTTTTTATTTGTCTGATTTCAGACAAAGTTTTCCCAACTCAAAAAATCCATTACAACATAAGTATATTCTATAAAAATCAATAGAAGCCTTTGTTATCTCGTATATATTAAAACATAATTGATGATGCACTCTTGAATTTTAAGTAATGTTTGAGTCAACTGATTAAAATTTCAAAATGGCTAACTTCACATTGCATTCATCATGGAGTAAGGTATGAATTCTTAAAGAAGTCTTTATCGACTTTTGGTGTAATAATCTTCTTTCAATTTATATGTTGAAATTTCCAAAATTAATAATACTTCTGAAAATATAACTGTAGAAGAAATCAAGGCAGTGAATAGTTCCCTGTAATTATATTCAGTAAAAATAATTTTGGGTGATAATATTACAACAAAATGATTTCAAAATTTGTTATCATAGTTCCAAAATTATTCTTGCTTATTTCTAAGAAAAAAAAGAAGATTTCACCCCAGAATCATTAAAAATTATTGGAAAGAATTTGTTTGATCTTTTGAAAGACAAATTTCAAGATTTTCTTGATGAAAAAATGTCTGTCGTCAAAACCTGTCAAAGTTTCAGTAACAAAGGTGCCAGCACCTCATCTCTAGAACTCTTTGGCCCTTTTGAGGACTCTGTCATTGGGTGAAGAAGCACCATAGGGAAAGACAGGGTTGACAAAATAAGGAAAAGGGGCCATTAGCTATGTTCTTGGTCCAGGCAAAATGCAATACACTTTTTAAAGTGTGTGCGATTTTGAATCTATATCACATTTATTGATTTTGTAAAAGGCAGTGGAGAAATCTCCACTTGGAAGACATTTTCTATAACTCTTGACAGCTTCGTTTTTTAAAAGCAATTTGAGTCTCTCTGGCCCCTCTTAGACATTTCCCTGCGACGGATAGACACATATCAGGACCCAGATGTGAAATGGATGAATCCTAAATATCTGATTACTCTATTCATTTCAAAATGAAAACACTACGGATGGATGTGGGGAAGTAACAAAATGGGTGAAAAAAGTGAAATTAGATCCAATTCACCTTGAAATGTGCATCTTTTTAACTTGTTGCTTTTTTATAAATCTGTTTCTAGACTGATTATATTTTCATCAGACTTAGTGAGCGAATTCAAAATAATTATTTCAAGTAATATGTCAATTTTCAACAAAAACTTGAGTTATCTGCCAATCTTGACTGAAATGTGTGTCATCACTGAACTGGCATTTTGATTTATGTTCAAGAATTCAACTGAAACAGACATGGCCCATTCAAACTGACCTGTCAATCATCACAGGTAGATATATCACTATGACAACTTCAATCACCTGTCACTATCAAATATTAACTAACAGACTTAACATTAATTTTAAATCACTTTTAACATTAACTGATACCATCTCCTAACCAAGTATGAAATAATGACAGAACATCACAAAACAATAAATTGTTAACAGCCAATAAAATGCAAACAAAAGAGAAAAATTAGTTTGCCACAATGAATCTTTAATGAAGTAATATGGAGTACACAGCAAGGTAACATCAATCCATGTTTACTCATTCTAAAAGCATGCTATGTTTGTTTATAATTTTTACCATTTTTACTAATTTCCCATGGGAAAGCTAAAGATACCAGTTTGGTTGCAATTAATTGCTTTTTCCAAAAATATCTCAACAAAGAAGAAATCCACAACAAAATCCAGGAGTAAATTTATATTAACAGCATAAACTCTAGTTATCAGTTTATTTCTTGATTGAAAACTAAAGTGAGTGTGGAAGGTAGATAGTAGGTCAAATATAAACCCAGGGGCAGATCGCCAGCTGTGGGGGTGGGAACTTGGGGAGGGTGGGGAAGAAGAGAGGCTAAGTCTATTCCAAGGAGACACAGATAAAATCTCTCATTCATAGGACTCTAACACTTGTCATCTCAAATTTCACTTGTGTTATATTGTTACCAGCAGCTGTTGTAACTATACCCACAGACACAATTCCCGGTGCAAAATAGACTTTCCCGCTGGTGAAAAAAATACAAAACAACACAAAATTGATTTCTCCGAAATGAACTTAAAACTTTTTCTCATAATCTGTCTGTAAAATTCACATCAGTTGACATAGCATGATTTATGAAATTTATCTTCAAAAATATCTTATACAAGCTGGTTTCTTTTTTCCTATTTGGCAGCTTCGGAGAGTTTTTCCACTAACTAGAACACTGGCTTCCTGTTTTATTGTTTTGAACCGTAAAGTCAAAAATATACATCTGCTTATTTACATAAACCTTAGACCACATATACCGTAATGTATAAATTTGGTTAACTGAATATTTCAGCTCCGGCATGTGCAAGATACAGACACTGCCATCTATTGTTATAACCTATGCCATTTCATCCTGCTGTCCGTCCACCAGCACAAATGGTGTGTGTATTTATTTAACAATGGCAATGTACAAATCAAGATCTGCTTCTAACTATTTAGCAACGGTCTTCTAAGTAGGGAACAAGATAATTGAACGATCCTGGCGCGTCACTTCATTCTTCCTATAGCGCCAATATCGTTGATCAAAGCTCCAGCAAAATCAATTTATTTTATCTTTAATTGATCGGAGAGAAACTGCTACATCAGTTGCTACTTGTCAAAAGAAGACAGGCGATTGCTAAAATGTATAATAGAAATAACCACCCTAAACAAAAGCCGGTAGAAATATAAACTCAAATCTGAGAAAGAAAATCCTCGTCGGATTTGCAAATCGGGGATTGTTTTGAAGTGGCCAAACGGTCGCCAATGTCAACACTTTGATATCCCTCGAGAGCTTTCCTAATTAACAGATAATGGCCATGATAAGAAGATATAGGAATTTTTTGGTGTCGGCTCCCTAGCGGTTTACAACTGGGGAATTGTTTCTGGGGCAAGCCACACTAATCGTTCCCTTCTAGAAAGGGCAGTTTTGGACAAAACTATTCAACCGTAACCCCCATTTCTCTCAAGGGTATAAGGGTATGGGTGGTGCGCCCGGCCCACCCTTTTATCAATGGAATCGGCCATGCAGAAGAACGGTAGCCAACGGCGAAGTGACCGTCTTTTGGCAGGCGGGACACGGACGAGTCAAATTTAAACACTGCTTTTGAAACGAGATAAACGTTTTACCATGGGTCATTTTATAGTCGTTAAGTCTAACTTCTTTTTGTTCAGGGCACTGATTGCTTGAAGAGAGGTACAATGGTAACTGACCATCGCAGGCACAATAATAACAAACCAGTGCTAAGTGAAAGTTCCATTCCACTTGAAAAAGATAGCCCGACTTCGTAGCCGGAAGGCTGGCTCCTAATCTATTTGATTATTTTCACAAGTTTTTATTTGGGAATTTAAACTCTAGTCGTAATCGCTATTGTAGTTGGAAATGTAAATAAAACAAGGCACTGTGGTGCTGGATCAATGGGGTAAATTTTCCTAACTTGTCGATTGTTAAAACAACAATACCGTTGCATGACAAATGACTTTTCTGTTCACCCAAAACCCTACGGAAATATTAAAAAGTCATTCCATAAACGACAATAAAACGAACGGGGATTGTGTTTAGCTCTTTAGTTTTACCCACCATTAATTTTACGTGAAACTTTTCATGCAGAAGTATATTTTCTTTCAACGAGTTTCAGCAAAATCGAACAACAAAACTACCAGAGTAGAAAACACGGCTATACTAGAGGACTTGACACGAATACCCATGAAAGAATTTGCCACGAACTACCGCAGAAAATTAACGCTTAATGTGAATTCTTATTGTTAGGAATTTTAAAAACACCCACACATGTACCGACACGATTTATACCAATTCACACCACTGACCCGCCTGTAAGTTCAGCAGAAAGAAAACTCCACGAAATGTCTTAGGTCCCTATAGAAACAACACCGCCCCTCAAATTCCCTCCAAAACAAGAATCATTTAAGCTATTATTACGGGCAACGACCACAGACATCCCGCCCTGGTGTAGCACCAAATAATAATCATTTACCTGATAACCAACAACGCCTATTGTAAGTCTATGGCCACTAGATAAGACATCCGACTCCACAACATTCGTGTCCGGTAGATTCCAGTACAGACAACTTGAAAAGTTTTCAGAGGGATGAAAAGAATTGTTTCTTAACCAAAACCTTCAAGTTCGACCAAAGTATCATTGACAATTTTTGACATAATCCCCTGAGTACAATAACCGAATTATCTCGATAAAATCAAATTATTATTAGTTAATCTCAAAGACTAAACAAACGGTCATCTTTATAGACAACTAAGGCCCATTAATATCTAACTAGTGTACATTTCATCATTCACTGAAATGCACAAAGTATTAATTTCAGATCACAACACGAATAAAAATCGGAAACTTGACAAATCGGACAATATGGACGTTACCAAGAGTATAAGTTTTTCAGGAACTGCAGACTAATATGCAACTGGATAGTTCACACGTGTATTTATTACAATTAACTGCATTCTGTCAATAATTGATCTCATAAATGCGGAGTAAGTGGTATATTTTAGAACTTAACATTTATTCTCATAAAATACCAAAGTTTTCAGTTTCCAAATGATATCATTTCATTAAATATTCACGAAATGTTGGTAAAATAAACCACAATGAAAGAACGAAAATTGTATACCTCAATGAAATAATTGAATTATGTCTGTATCAAAAACAGCGCTTCCTTCAAATGATAACCAACTCCAAAACAAAACTATTTTAATCTAATAATACACCAACGGTTGAGTTGCAAAAAGAAACGGAACAGACATAGCTAATTGAATTAATTTTTAGCGGTTCATCTTTTCCCACGTTAATTCCCCGTCTGAACCAAACAACTATTCAAATTGAAGCACTGGTTCAAACAAATACATTTATCTCATTTTTCACTGAAAATGTCTAATTGTATGTTAATAAGAATTGCCAATTACAGGTGAAATGTCCAATACCGGTGTCATGGTGACACTGCGCGCCAATGTCATTTTTACGATAGGCCTATTGAGATTTTTATTCATTAACGCTCATAAAAATGATCACTTGGCGGCGCCGGTGGCTTTAAATTTCTTCATTCTGCCCTTAAAGTGACCGTCGAACAACCAATATCACCATAAAAAACAACTTTCATGATATACCGTTTACTGTTACTAGTGTTCAGGTATAATATTATTTGATGCGTTGTATATGTCGGGGTATGATTTTGTCTGCTTTAATTGGCACGTGACTAGCCCAACTGGACGTATAGACACAACATTATACGAGTGTCATTAATGTTATGTCTACCACAATGTAAACAATGGCACCTGTGAATTATGACACACGGAAAGGCATGAAACTACGGACGAACAAAATGGAGAAAAAGAAACGTGTGCTTACCTGTTCCTGGTTATTTGTCTCGGAATTATGTTCAATGGGGTTATCAGAATTTGAAGAATTCACTGTCGTTGAAGATGATGAACTTTTGCAAGGTGTGCTGTTACTCCCACCTTCGCGGTCATCGATCACCAAGTCTATGGGCATTTTGCCTTTTAAACAGCTAATGTACCGATGGCAAAAATTGTCACAGAGTTCGTGCACCTACAAAATAAATTATACCAATTTTCCTTAAAGACATATTTCTTACAGAAACATTCTTGTATTTTCATTATTCAATTAGAGAGAGAAAGCACCATGCGAATTTCCACGAATGAAAACAAGCGAAACGACTCGCACTGAAAGTCCATTGCTAATTCGCAAATCTGAAATTTTGATTCGAAAATTGGTCAGCAAAAAGGACAAAATCGGCATACATTTCGTGGAGGGATTTTTCCTCATTTATTAGATTAGTAATCCTTATGCCTTATTAGCGTCTTTCGAATGCAGATCACGGCTAAACGCTCCGAGCAGAGCTAGCCTTTTATTGTATCCAGTGGCTCGGGCAACATGGCGAACATGCGTCGTCTGCTACAGACCGCCATGCTGGCACGAGGCATTGACCAAAACAAATGCAGTTTCGGATTTTCTCGGGCGCTTCGTTCGCCGTGTGGTTTCCAAAAAGGACGCAATTTGTATATTAAATGTCAAAACTAAATTGCCGATGATATTTTCTAAACAACATATCCGCTGTTGACAATGTCAGATTCTATGCCTCCTAGTAATAAGGTGACAGACTTGGTATCTACCGACGACTGTATAGAACGTTTAGTACACTCAGCTCAGTGCGACTCACTTCGCGTTATCGTTTCGGGTCCTATGTGTTTGCATAAACTTGAAGGAAATGCTGTTATCAATGAAGGAAATTTTCTTCAGTGGAGTTCATGCCGATATCACCAAGAAACAGGGTGGATATCGGCCTGACACTTAATACAACAAGCGACATCCACGATCGAAATTATGGCATACATTTCTTATACATCGTATTTCATGTAAGAAACGCCTAATTTCATACGTGTGAATAAAACAGGGATTAAACAGTTAATTATTCACATGTAACAAAATTGCCAGCTAGTTAATCCGCTTTGAGATTTAATCAAAATCTATCGCCAACGCATACAGTTGCCAATTTCATGACATATATTGTAATGGACACCGTCAAAATACCCGCGTGACATGCAAACTAGACAAGATTTCAGCAATGGATAATAATTTCTTTGTTCAGCTGTTTACAGCGTGAATTAAACAATACTACGCCACGATGTTTCAGCGGCAATATACAAAGGGAAACAATTCATATAGATATATTTCAACCCACCTTTTCTAATTCCAACAGATGAAAACGTAAAACCTGGATTGACTGAATCATCTGGAAAAAATGACATGGAAAAATTGAAACTTCATATAGAAGCACGAAACGTATACGGACGATAAAAACACGACCTATAATACCCCATCAAATATTAGAGACGATACAGCAAATTCACAACAGACCATGGGCGATTTTAGGCTCTCAATTTCCACTCGAACCAGATGCCAATTAAAGTTTAATTTATTTTATTTTATGCCTCTTGGGTTCTTGAACACTTGCGCCCTAAAAGTATCATTTCTGGTAGCTGGTTGAGACCCGCCGTCTAATCAAGGATAGATGGAAAAGTCTCGTATCTGTTACAGGGAGTCTTTTGTTTTGGAAGACGGTCTTCCCAGTGGAGGTTAACCCATAAAACCATCTGGAACGTTTTTCTCGGGCAGAATCAGTCTAAAGTAAAATACTCAGTCCAGGCGCTATTTTCAGAATTTCCCTCGCGTCTCACGGTTCATTAGGGTGACTTGGCGAATTCGACCTTCCAGCGAAAACATGGGGCAAGTTGAGGCTCAAACTACTCGCTCCGTTTGCGAAAGAAATTTCCAAAACGGTCATTTGGCGATGTGGCACTTGGAGTTGATGAAACTAGACCGTTCCGAATCACAAATCTCCATCGACTTGGCCACAATGGTGCATTGGGGATGAGGAGAAATGGTCGTTATTAGTTCCGAGTCGGAAGCAAGTAAATTACTGATGATTTGAGGGAAAATAAAAAGGAAAACATACCAAACTGTCCAATTCGTGGTTTGCTGAGAAAAAGGGTTTGTCCGACCGGGCCTGCCAAGGAAAAATTAGAAAACGGGAAAAAGAGTAGTAATACATATATATATGGAAGATGGAAATGTTTGGATCCATGTATCAATAAAAGAATCGTATAGGAATCATTTTGCACGTATCAGTTGGATTTTATTATCGACTTGACCGAATAAATTCAATGTTATTACACATCTCTGGAACAAACCTCTCCCTGTCTCTACATTTAGACCACACTCGCTTTTAACAGCCATGTCAAGTATGGGGTTCTATATACAGAATTCAACCAAATCACATCGCAACATCCATCCCGACCATTTTATTTTATTATGTTCCTCATTATCTCTGCAAAGCGCTATAACTCTCGGGCGAGCAGTGATGAAATAAAAGGCGGACAATAAATTGAGGCATTGTGCAAGGTTACAATAATAAAATTCTCACTTTTCCTCTATTGTCTACGGTGGAAGCGGAATATCTAAACATGTAATGAAATGTGCCGGTTTGATTGGAAATCATTATCGTACAATGCGTCGCCAACCGACTGGTTTAATATTTCTGTCCTATACATGATTACTAGAACTGACGAAAAAACTAGACGACCTAGAAATTGCAGATGCATTCAGTGTGCGTAAAAATATTAAAACCTGGATCAGATTTCTCCGGATAACGACTTGGAAATAATTGAGAATTATTAGGGAAATTGAAATGCTGATGACAATGATGTTTATACGTACGAGAACTTGTTTGCTGAAGACGGCTATATCTTCGTTGAACGATTCTGATGAACACACGTCCCCACCCGCTACTCCTGGCTCTCGGGGGGTACATGTGGCTAATTCGCATTTTTCAAAAATTAATGCGAGAAGCGGGAAAAGTGCGTGTCTGAAAGAAGCGGAAAAGATACAGTTATTTTTTAACATCACAGATATGGCCGCCATTTTGGGAGCCGCTAGTTACTGGGTAATGATAGCGTGTTTTCGTGATCATCACTGAAAATCGGCCCTAAATGCCACAAAATATGCCGACATAAGGACTGGAGGTATCATTTACAGAGAGCAATGCCAAAAGACGGGGCCACTACACAAGTGTCAAGACTGATTTAGTCAAAACAAACCCGGAAAGCCGCGACCGAACCAAAACATTGGTTCAATGTGTTACAGTTACATAGACGACAGGCAAGGCTACACGTGCCGTGTGTTGTGAACTAAACTTTGGACCAGGACGCGCTACACGGTGATAATATTGCCTACCACAAGCGGATATACTTACGAATATATCGAATCTTTATCCCGTTTTAGTTGATTGTCTTGTGTGGATGACATTACCCCCGGCATAGTGCTGCTGGACGTGTAGGGTGGGTACTGGTGGATGGGGGACGGGCCGTGGTTGAGACTCGTGGAGGAGTGGGTTAGAGGGTGACTGGGCAAAGACCGGGGGTCCGAGTACATAGCCGAGGCGTCCATACTCCCGTAATGTGGGAGTTCATTGTCAAACTGCAAGAGAGACCAACACCTTACAACGTGCCACCAAGCACAGTATCAATTTCTCATAAATATTATAAACAGGAGCGGCAGAGCTCGTAAATTTCATTTAAAACAAGAGTGTAGGTATAATACTCACCCTCTGAGCCATCGGCGCGAAGGGAGAGAGCGTCTCCACTCTCGAATCTAAGTCCAGATATTGCGTAAGTTTTTACACTTCCACCGCCAGATTGGTATAAACAAATCCAGTGCCCTGTCAAAGAAGAAACAAACTGTCAAACACTGTAAAGCTCCATAGATCCAAACACGTTGGGCTCGGCCGTCATCACAACCTTAGTTTAACAACTGGCCTGTCGCAGCCTATAGCTAGTACCACTAAATCTGTCAATCAAGCCAGGGTTACTATAGAACGGGATAACAAATGAGCTGTCAAGGCCTGCCCTGCCTTGGGCGATCTGACTTCAACCAGTAGGGGATCCGAGTTTGCAACATAACACAAACTCACGCACGCTCTGAATCAGTGGCAAGCCGTAGACGTTCAAACTGGAGAAACACTATGGAAAGTACAGCTACCGGAGCTTCCGATAGTCAGTCGGAGACTTTATCCAGATCCCTGGCTGCTATTTCTGCTGGCAATCGGTCTCAGTCAGCCGAATCACTTCAGTCGTATCGAGTTTGCCCATTGTTTATCTCTATTGCGCTGTAATAGTTTTTCGCCTAACCCCGTTTTCCCCGGCACTCCTTTCCTACATGCTACCAGCGATAACATCTACCATCCGATAGCAGTCTTCTTCGACAGCAGAAAAACTAAGCATGCGAGGAAAATCGTTTCGGCGCCAGTCGGTTAAAGTATCCAGTATCCTTACTCAGCGGAATTAAATTACAGGCCCGGCACTAATTTAATCTAGGTTCCCCACGTGTTTTCGTCCACGTTAGCGCAAAATATAACTAAACCATGCATATACCTAAGCTGTCGTCTTGGTGTAAATCCGTATTCTCCGCGATCGCTGCTTGTGACAAAGTGTGTGAACTATATTTCTTTACTGTTTATCATCGGACTTGGAGAGAGACTGTCATACTGTGACTGAATACCCGTATCCCTAACACTCCGCCCTCTCGGCCACGCGGACTGAAATGGACTCGTCCGCTCCGCCCCTTGCCCCGCCCCCCTTCAGCTATGACACTCAAGGGTAATCGGGCGTTAGCGTCCAGCCAATCACAGCGCGACCGCCTATACACCGCGCAAATTCGACTTCTTCGGCTCAGCTCCCAAGGTTTCGGGCCGAGTTTTCCGACAAGAAGGACTAGGTCCGTGTACAATGCTTGTGACGTTCCAGTGCTTGGGAAATATTTGATATAGGGAAAAGAGAATATACAGGAAAGTCTGTTATCTCGATCTGCTGGAATAAGCAACTAAGGTACTCATGGAACTACCATTGTTTATGATAGACTCGAACACCGCAAGAAAAGCATGGCCCCTATCGCATTCTGCTGTTCAGGAGGATTCTACTGACACTAACATTTTCGCATTCTTTCATGCTAACCTTTTTGTAAGTGTTTTTCAGTTTCTGTCGTTTAAAGTTAATCTTCAGCTTAAACAGTTATTGATTTTAAAAATAAATCATTGTTAACGCTTTACGCTGGTCAGCTTATGGATTGCATGAAATGAGCATCTGAAATTGCCATTAGTGTTATCGACAATGATCTTTAGGAATTTCTTGTCAAATACAACCAGATTGCCACCACTTGGGGTAATAAAATACCAGTATAACATGTCGGCAGTAATACCCCTTGTAAACGGTGTCTATGTCTTTAGCCATCTTGATATAATTAACAGAAGGTATAATTAATACCACCCACTAATTACTAAACAGGGTGGTATTATAAAGTGACGACGTTCTCACAGTATGACCACTGAAATATCTCATGTCGTGCTAAGTCCCACCTACCTGGCATCGGTTAGCGAAATCGTCACAATTTTCCGCGCCATGATTTTATTAGCTTAACAGGAATAAATCAAATCCCCCTGAGATAGACAGACAATAAGTACTGAGCGAATAGTATCCATCCACTACGGGGACAATTACGGAATTCCGTAGGTCTTTCTGTATCCGTCACTCCGGCGATTGTCTGCGAATTTGTTTATACATTTTCTCAAATTTTAACGACCGAGACTGGCTTATTTGGCCACAAGATTAACTGTCGGGCATACCTACAGAGGTAACATTTATCTAGTTACGTAGAAAGGTCATTTCACTGGAATTTGCGTATCGTTTAACATCCGTAGAACTGCTTTAGTACAGTTAGCGGCACTTTCAACGTGGTACTAAAAGACACATACTTCAAGCATTTATAATGAATATACACATACACATCACGGCGGGACAAATACGTATATTATCACCAGCGGTATGGACAGAATTTAAATTGCGCTTAATCATACATTCAAATACATTTACAGTTTACACACGAGGCGCTGGATAGTTTACAATCAGTGCCTGTTGTAGACACATAAAGTTGATTTTAACACTAGGCGAGTTAAGCCGTTCTACGTGAACATATTGTGGCGATGACTGAATATCATATTAACTTTCTGAGTATGTTTTTCGGAGTTTATTATAAAATGCATTATATATCAAAATAGCTGTATGATTTCTTCTGGTATTTTGACAGAAGCTAACTCAATTATTCCTATAGATCATTTGAAATGTAATGAAATTTGTGTAACATATTCCAGTGGACAATGAATTTGTTCAATCATATTATCAGGGAAAACATTCGTACACTATATGTCGGTTTTAAATTAGCTTTAAAAATTACAAGTCATGAACTGGTGTTTCAACTTAAAATATACAAGAAAAAATATTTAAATTCACACCTTAAAATTGAATCTCCAAGAAACACCAGCCTATTGTTTCATTAAGATGGAACCCCTGATTAAATTCATAATTAGCTTACGCTGATTCCAGTAACATTTCATTTGTTAATGGCGATAAAACGTAGAAGACCTTAAAGCACACATGCTAAACGTAATTAATCAAAATAAACGTCTGCTAGTATCATTTTCAAAATTTGATTTTAGCACTGCGCATTTAAAATAACTTGGCAAAAGTACCTTAGGGGTTTCTAATCTGTCCCAAGAGAATCCCGTCGCAGACTGATTGGTGCATAAATTATGATTTGTTGACAAAACACGATTTTATTGATGAGAAAACAGTTTTGGTTTATTTTGAAATGTTGGTTGATCTGGGATGACTACATTAAGAGAGGAGTGAGATTCTCGTCAGTCTATACCTTCCGTAGACCAGGGCGTTTCGAGTAGGTCACATGACCATGTTTCCAGAATAAGCCCGTCATTTAGTCAAAACAATGAATTCTATGTTTTGAAATAGAGCTAGATTCATTTGCCTCTTACCTATTCCAAATATGTGACAAGTATGTTGCGGGATATTGTCACATGAGTTGTATGTCAGCTGGGGTCAACTAAATAGAATGGATTTTGAACCTTCGCTATTCGCATTATATATACTCTTCGTGAACAGCTAATGGCTAAACGTCCTACCTAAGGTTGTGGAAAACTTTGATAACCAGCGGTGGAAGAATAATGATACACGTTTCCTCACACAAACAGAAGAAATTACATGCATAGAAATAAGCAAAGCTCATACGAAGGACGGAGGCTTAAAACCTTGCAATGATACGTTTGTCTGTGTGTGCCACGGTGTACGTCCCATATTAGTTGCATTCAGTGTGTGATTATAATCTGAAAACGCCTCGTGGGAATGACAGTCTTTACTAGTGAACAAACTGCCAATAAGTGTGAATTAAGGGATCCTAGGCCCACATGCCTCGTCGCCAGATACTGCTCCACGTGTTTTAGGGACGGCAACACTGAATAACAGTATACGTCATTTGTAAGAAACGCTTATTTATTGCAACCAGTTTTAGAAACTCAATGTGAAATTGTCTGTTTCAGCTAAGGATGAAATCAACACGAAAGCCAATAGCAAAATAACATATCCCCAACACCGCTGTTGTTAGCAAATGTGTAAACATATAGCATAGGATAGCCTATATTGACAACTAGCGGGGATTTGTCAATCAAGCCTGGAGTGAAATACACCTTGTCTGTTTCAAAGTAAACCGCCCTCGCCGACACCGGCGGTACTACAATACCAATATAGCCTCCTCATAACACATGGTTTGTATATAGCCCATGCAATATAGAACTGGGCGATGAAATAGGCACTCGCCAACAGTTTGGTTCTCATTGCTAGCGAGGGGCTTTAAAAAGAGCCATTGAAAGCACGTATTAATGTGGGAATAACGGCAACAAAATACATCAGCTTTATATCACTTTGATGTTGTGTCAAATGAGTTTGGTCGTGTATTTGACTATGCAGGTGTCATGTCGGTTTCAGTGCGTGTAATTCCCGCATTCGTCTCGATATTGCCATCATTTCATAGCATTTTCACAATAAGTACTCTAGTCGTAACTATTACACAAACAGAGCTGTCATTACGAGGAGAGTAACGAGGGCTCCCAGTGCACTCACAACGTCATGTATGTATCATGTACATATCTGTGCAATTAGCAAGGTGAAACATACAACAAATTGTTTATACGAACCAGGCATCACGTCTCGTCAATAGGGTGTTGGTGATTTCCATTTATAGTTGATATTTGGCCAATAATTGGTATCAGTGACTCACGAAATTGAGCAAATATGAGCACATTATGTGATAATCATTAATTATGCAATTTGCAAATGTTGCTATTAGTTTCACATGTCTCTAAAAGAAGTATCTTAATGTCGACCATTTTTCCTGAAAACGCGTTTTCTACGATTACAATTGCTATAACCTTTGGGTGGTAGTATTACGCTGCCTATAAATCAGTAATGTAAATCCCACACAGCAATAATCAGCAGTTCAGCACATTACATGTGACCAAAGACCATATAACTGTTAATTCCTGTTAAAAATATTCCCCGACACGTAACGACTAAAACACGACGTGTTTATCTCTTGTCAGAGGCAAGAAGCAGCTCTAGGATAACTATCTGCTTACATCATGATAAGCATCCAACAAAATGAGTGCCATTAATTACATCAATCAACATGCAGTTTGATATACACATCACTCATCAGTGGTACATTTCACTTTTTCTACAAGGAAGCATGCATATTTCAGGAAAAGAGAACTGGTGTATGGTGTTCAGTTTGTTTCAGGGCTTGTTGTATCTGACCAGTGTTTATGAAACCACTTCAACGCCGAATGCGCGTGGCACAGGGTGACCCCTCTATCCTCTCGATATGTAATGCCACCCCGAAGTGAACGGTGTGGCTGGGAGTATTGGCCTGTCTGACACTCGCAGCGGCCCTAAATGACTGTCGATGGACTTGCTGCTTTAATGAGCTGGCCCGCTATTCTTCACCTAGCGTCGAGGGTTGGCCTTTTTTCGAGGCAGATACCGTGAAATTACTCTATGGGCACACTTCGGGCCTGGCTCTCACGGGTGATATTTTGACTTCAGTGTAACGAGATGTCCTTGTACATATTCGCCATGACGAGATTGTACGAACGAAATTGCGTTTAGCTCGGCGCGACACTTCTGTGTTTAGCCTGGGTGGTTTAATGAGCGCTCGTTACCGATGACCCCCTCCCTCCCTCCCCACAAGCCCTGGGGCCCATCCCAGCGCAAGGCACCCTGGCTCTGCACCCTAACTTCAACAATACGACCTGTGTTGACGTGTCAGGACTCCACCGTCAACTCGGCGACAGCGAAACGAGCCCCTCGGCGAAATGATTTCACCAAAACATAAGTAGCAATTCTAGCCGTTTACGCAAAGAGACTGGCAAGCTTGCCAGCCCCAAGACGCCTAATTTAGTGCGAATTCAACATCCGTTGTCGTGGAAATGTCGGGATGTGTGGAGTGGATACTGTTCTGTTAGTTATTTTAGAAGCACGTGCAACATCCCAACATCCCCCGGGTAATTCCGAACCAACATCCAGCCATATATCAACGTACCGTTCATTACCGGCCGGTAAATACAGACGATCTCACAATAAACAACAACAGAATATGAAACAAAACCATGACGGTTCGTAACTCCGCACAACCCAGTCTCCCACCTGCTGCCCATGTACATGACGGCGACAGTGGTACATTATACTGAAGGAAACGTGTTTTATTTGACATACATGACTGTGTTTAGTGGCATGACAGTCACCAAGTTGGCCAGGAAGACAATACAGGTCGACTGACAGTTATCGACAATCCGAGACGTCAATAGATCATTAAAAGAGCACGTGTGTCATACTGTTTTTACGAAACGAGTGTAAGACTTTTCACGAGCGAGAGCCAGTGTATTGCATGAATGTGCACACACAGTTTCGTAATTTTAATATGAGACCCGTGCGAGTGTAGTAATTCATTATTACTTATCATTTTTAGTCCTTTTGAGTTCCATTTTAGAAAATAGTACACTGATCAAATATGCCGTCAAACCGCAATTGTTGAGCCACGTCAACAATGTTCATCTATGACGTCGTTTCTAGTGTGACGTCATTCTTACTTGATGTCACAATCAGATTCGGGTGACCTAAACAATGCCGTCTTGATGCCGTTCACAAAGCACTGGTGCGCGATATTTGCACTTGTGCATATGTGGTTTTTATGAACTCGGCTATTTCTACTCCTTGTGTAAACTCAACACTGGGCTGGTGTATCTTACCGACGGCCTCTCACCTACAGATTGCTGCTGCAGAATTGTCAGTGCAATCATATACATCACTGAAGATGAAACTGACGTTTCGTTTCGCATGTAGATGTAACCGCTTTTACACATGGAGCTTCTCTCAATAGAGATTAATTATTCTTATAACACAAATCTGTCAATGTTCGGATTATGATCAACCTAACAGCAAGGTACAATACAATCATACATTCATTATTCAGTCATTTGTACACGTTCAGTTAAAGGGCATGACGACAATGAAGCAAGATATCCGCCTTCACCGTGGTTCTACTGTTTGCGAGGCTAACGGGGGTTAGAATTGCAGAGGACTTAACAATTCGAGAGCAACTGCAGACAAAACGGCTACCATTGACACGACAAAACAGGTAGGATCCGCGGGATGGTGAATTATACAATTAAAAAGCGAAATGGACACGATGGCGTGATATTGAAATCTACACGATGCTTATTTTATCCGTGGTGAAATCGACAACGCACATGGCGCGGTCCTGGTGAGAAGGACACTGGCGTTTCCCTGTTCATTTCAATCTCACGAGAAGATACGCGCATCCTAGAGCTACGATCGAACTGGGGCTCGCCTCACAGAACTTGTCAATTGCTCCGAGTCGGAAATCTACCAATAATCGGCCACGCATTCGTGTTCTGTTTTCGTTCCAGTGATTTCTGTGACATGTATGTCGTATTCACCTCTCACCGCTGCTTATCCGTTTCACGCACTATCTCTCCCACTTCCCAAATCCCGTCTTTCTTTCATTCCACAGTTTATTAATAAGAAAATTCTCACTATCTCCCTAAGCCGTCCGCAACAAACGATATTGCGCTTCGCTCACACACGCTCCAGTGAAGTTTTCGATCCTGCCGCTTTCGCCAGCCGGTATGAATTGTTCAATGAAATACTGATTGATTGCGTTAGTAACACGACACAATTTCCTCTCTCTGTCTATCACTCATCCATCTGTCACTCTCCCCCTCACTCACTCCATAGAGTCTGTTTGGGTTATCTGCCCATGTCGCGACACTCTCTGATAAGAAAACGATTTCTTTAACTCAATTTTGTATTTTTCGGAAAACTCTCAGTCTTCACATTACGTTCGATCCATTAGAAAACCACATTATTCATTTTTCTCCTTACAGCTCCGAATTAGAAGATTATTCAGGAACAGCTCGTGACAGTCCGCCATCCCCAACAATGGGGATTGTTTTAAAAGCAGATATTACAGACCCGTGAAACTATACAACTTCACTGGGCTCATGTAAGCAATTACGTGAAATTGTTTGAGAAATTGTTTCCTATAAACAACGTAAATAATTTGCTTCACAAGAACAACCCACTTCCTGAATCACTGTAATATTGCTGCACAATTCTGACAAAAATAAATCTCCCGTGAATGTACGCCGTAGTTCTTTTGATGTTTTCTTTTAATGGTTAACATATATATCAATAAATTATAAACAAATAAACTGCTGCATCGATTTCCAACAATTAGGTCACGCGGATCAGGGTCGACTCTACCCTGTACCATCTGCACCAGGCGAAATTGACACTGTGCATTGAAAACACTCACATTTCATCCTGCTGTCGTCCGCTTATCATTTATTCATTCTGTCTATCTAGTGCTTCACTCAGACCCTGCGTTGGGGCCGACTTATCATGGATATTCTTTCCCAGACTTGATTACTACTCCTGCAAAGTACGCCGCCCGTCACATAAGTTTGTCATTTATTCATCTATTATTCATTCTTTCATTCCCTAGCCTCGTTTCATATCCTCTTCGCACATGGATCTAGTTACGGGGTTGGGGGAGGGGGCAGATTAATGGTGGGGGTGCGATCAAACACGATTTTACGTTTTGTGCAGATATCGAAGTCTTTGTACTTTGCAGTTGGAAGAAATTGACAACTTATCATCGTATGTATCGCGAAGTAAGTTGGCAACATTCCGTTGTACTATTTACGGAACAATTCCAGCTAAAAGAAGTATATTGATGTATGTTGGCAGGGGTCCTCACGTAGGTTGGCGCTGTATGTAGCACGGGTTATAGAATATACATCGAAATATGAGATCACCGACATGAAGTTTATATCTGAATCAGTCTTTCCCACACATCTTTGCCCGCGTAACAATCCATGCTAGAAGACGTAGAGCATTTCAATGTCAGAGAAATAAACAAGCTGTCTGTGACCATCACACACTGTGAGAAACAGACGAGACAGCCACATACCTGACAGCGACCTGTCATCACAGTTTTCAAGCTGGGCCAGTCGCTGACCACACCACCCACCACATCACATCTCGCTCACAAAAAAAGAAGTTATCCTCGATAGTGACGGACTATCTAGATAATATATACCTTAAGACAATTAGTGAGATGTGTAGTTTTGTTACTGATACACTTTGTTTGAATGACAAGGATAAGTGACATGTTCTATTACACTCCGACCCCTCTACCAAGTGTTTTGTTCGTGTATTTTAAACACCGGACTTTTCCCCTTCTCTATCAAATACTAAACATTGTAAGGTCACGAATAAGGATCCCAGACATTCTTTACTCAATATATCGGATAAACATACTGAGTTGTATTTGCTTTGCTGGTCCCAGTAGAATGAAAGTGTCACGCATCCCCTTGGCCTAATCTGGAGAATACTTTTTCCATCATTCGTCCACCCTTAACTTGTCTCTTCTGTCAGTCTTCCTTCATTTCCTTTATTGGCCCGAGACAGGCTGAAGATTCAGGCCAACTCCTCCTTCCGATGAGTCAATGTTTTACATCTCGACACTGCGCAAACTATAGCGTGCGTACGCACGTTCGCAAACATTCCTGACTTAGTCTTGCGCACGTGAAAATTACTAGAACAAGGGACTTTCGACATATCAAGTGTTTTGAAGATGATTTTATTCGTTTAATAGGGGAGTGAGAGTATTTAGCGCTTGTTTCTCCCGGCAAGTGTTGTGTCGCGACTTCGAGATGTCTAAGAGGTGGCCCCTCAATTTCGTAACCTCTTCATTTGACAAGCTTTCATTCGTAACAATCTGACTCGTAATGAAACCTTTGATGGATAGGCCGAGCAAATTGAATATTACAGCACTGCCGTGAAAATGATACGAGTCGAGGGGGGCTGCTCCCGACGGTCCGAAATAAAAGATTTTAATTTTTGACAGTTTGTAAACGCTAAAAGTTTCACTGTAAAATAAGCCGGGGTAAATTCTAACGGTACCTCGTTCCTCTTGAATTAATCATATTTGCCTTGGTGGGAGCTTCCCGTGTCACAAATGTCACATCAAAAGTTTGTCAAAATTGATTATGAAATTTGACAAACATACCAAGTTGGCTATTGTCCCCCTTACTCCCACTCTGTCACTCAAATCAGACTCAAGTCGCATTGTCCAAGCCAGTCAGTGTCACTTATCTTTCGTCACAAGTCTCACTTGGAATTAATAGCCCACTGCCCACTGAAATTCACTTTTTTCAAAAAAACATTTCAGGGAACTTCTTTGTTCAGGAAAATTCGGTTCTACCCATGTATTGAATAATAACAGCATCCTGACCCCTGAAGTTGTTCTATTGCAACACAAAACAACAACATGAAATATAGTACATTAGCTCTTTGTTCGTATTACTGTGACAATATATGTTATGTTTTTCCGCAAATGTTTTGTTTGGCCTGTTTCGTTTGATGATTATATTAACAGTAAATTAATTTCAAATATATTCTCATTAAACAGGAGAGTAGATCAGAAGCTTGCCTAATTCAGAATACATTTGAATACACTGATTAAATGCGTTGCCTGCATGTTTACAGTGCGGGACAATTCGATCGATTTCAGTAGTTCATGAAATTTACATCAGTTCACTGTGCTATTCTTTCTCTTCCGCTTATCAAATTACCACCATAACATTCGGAATAAATGAATTTATGTTTTAATCATCACCGATCACGCACCAGTCGTAACAGCGAAGCATGAGATGTCAATTTCACGAATACCTACACTTTCATAATCACTTATTGCCACTCGATATGTGGTTGTTGATTTCAACTGCTATTGACGATGAAGATTCTCCATTAATCGCTGATCTGTCAGGCGACACAGCTTTTGTATCCACCCATTTCTGCAAGAGCGATTCATTGATCGACTGCATGATGATATAGACACCATTCAGGGGAGAAATGTACATTGCAGGTGAAATGCATTACCGCCAGATAGCCAGGTTGTTGTCGATTTCACAGGCCTGTCAATTAGGACATACTCGTTGGCAAGTTAATGTCTACCTACTTGCTGTGTTTATTTTGTTTTCCCGCCCTGCTAGTTTCAATTTGTTGACATTACGGTATATTATGAAATTGATTACTGATGCAAAGTGATGTAAGTGGCACGGGCTCGCCGATGTCAGTTTCGGAGCAGGGTTTACAAGAGTATGTCAAATTGTTTATTCTGGCAGGAGGTTGTATGTGTCCATGTTATTGGGGAAAAGTACCACTTTACCAGACAAATAATCATAGTCGTGTGTGTTATGATCAACTACGTTTTTTATACATAAACTACGGTGTCTTACTTGTTTCTTCCCTCTTACATAAAAAACAACATGCATTTATACCTGCTAAGATAGCTGGTTTCAATAATCTTTATCAGTATATTTTCCTAAACGTATAAACACATAATTATTTATAAGAATTGTTATTACAAAAAGCATCATTTTAATCACATTGCCATTTCAGTTAGCCTAGTTTTGTCTTTACCTTAGTCTATAAAGCAACTCTAATTTCACTTTAATATATAAAAAAAGATTGATGAAGTACTTGTCATGAACAATACAACATGAAATATGTGTTAAAAGCCGTTATAAACTTATATTTCTCCAGGCTTGATAACGTCGTCCAACTTGTCCACATCTTCAGAGTAAATTATTTCTGGCAATCACTTCGCTGATGTCTATTTAAAAGTTTGGGTGTTTTGAAATGATGCGCAAAATTTGGTTCGACGCCTCACTAACTTCTCATTTAAATGTTCATACTAAGAAAATATTTTTTACACCAGCTTTTTCTGTGCCATTGTGGGGAATACATAAAACACGCGTTTCGCGTCTACAGAACCTGTGGTGTTGAAATTGACATTCGTCATGACGAGCAAGTCCTGCAGTGAAATCACTTCCAGGAAATTTACAACTGAGTGTAGGTGGGTGGAGCCGGCATTGTTAAGCACGAGCTAATGACCCAGGCAGCCCGAGCGACATCAGTGCCGGACAAGCTACGTTGTCGATGTTGTGTATCGTCCAAGCAGCCGCTTGTATATTTCATCCGCGTGCACGCCCCAACTTAATGGCTGGGTCACTTCAGTTATACGATAAACAATGGGTCTGTTTTCTAGAGCTTTGTAAACAACGTTGACTGATCAACATACATAGAACTTGTATTAGTGTACGAGACGATATGGAGCCGAGAACGCTGCTCTGAAATGTCGTGGAATAATTTAGGGAAGCTGATTGAAAGGTACAACTACTACATCCCAAATTGAAATTTACATGTGTCACTTTCTCAATTCATTATACCAAGAAACTTTCATTTCCCATTGTTGACATAACTGGTATGATGTACATTTCAGTTTCAACATGGACGTTTACTGGCAGTGTTCGTAGTTAATACGTACCATTAGTTTGTCACGTTGGGTATTAAGAATGTATATGTCAAATTGGATATTCAACAATGACTGTTTGATGCAAAAATACAATTCCATCCTTCAATATCACATTTAGTATTAAATCATTTAACAATAGAATGTGATAGAATGTTGAGTAAACATAGTATTATATAGACGTGTTGACAGACATTCGGTGTATTGTGTCTCGTTTTATATGGTACGCTGTTAAAAGTTAGCAACATATGGAGATAGGTCTAGAAATAAATCCTAACCTAAAGCTATTACAACCATTGCAGTCTGATGCATTTAATATAGGCTGTGCAATTACACTGACTATTAAACCGGATAGTTTTGAATTACATATTGATACAAGTGTTTTCAGTGACGGGAGAGCCAGATGCTTATATTTTGCGTGGCTCAATTCTAAAATTGGTGATTTCAAAATTGTTCGTGTGTCAAGATAATAGTATTTCTATATTTAATAATTTGATTAGTAATATCTGATATATAATAGGAAGATATCGTTATGATAAGATATAACGGTATATTTTGAAATATTCAAGATATCGATTTGAATAATGGAACTCATGAAAACATGTTAATGTCGGGCGAGACACAGAATATATCTGTATAGCTACCTTACATACTCTGTCATTTCATATTGCATTTCTGTTTATCCTTT